CGCCTGCCCGCCGCGCCATCGCGCCTGCCTCCGCTCTCGCCCGCCGCACCGCCGTCCGCCGTCCGCCAGCAGCCTATCCGGGTCGGGTCGTGTCAACCCGGCAACCCGCCGGGTCGGGTCCGGGTTCGGTTTTTCGACCTGTTTGTCTACCCGGGTCGGGTTAGGGTTGACCCGTTTGAACCCGGGTCAGTTCCGGGTTCGACCCGAACCTGACCCGTGACCCGAAATTGACACCCCTAATTAGACCAGTGTAACTAGAAATTATAGCTCCTGTAAATAGTAGGAATGCTTCAGTCCTAGCGCCTTCCCTCATTCTATTCTTGCTTTAGTGTTTTATCATAAGGAGTGTTTCAGTAGCTTCTTCATCTATGTATAGGCGCATAGGGAGAGATTATTGGATGCGGAGTGCGGACGGAGAGAACCATCGACATAAGTATTTGGTACCTAGCGGTACCCTCATTCGGTACCACTGGGTACCGTTATACTTGTGCGAATAGTGCGCACTCCGCACCTAATAATTTTTCGCTCATAAGTCATAAAATGCCATAAGTAATACAAAGAAAGTTACAAGGTTGCTTTGCCTTATCAATGTCACCTTTGCCATAACACAATGAAAGATGTGTTTCTTGGGGGCAAATTAAGCTGTTTCAACACCTGAAGCATATGTTACAACCCCAATGATAAGTATTTTACCTTGAGAAACTATAGCCGTTCAATAAATGAAAGATTATGAGAAATTAAATAAGCTTTATGTTCTTTCAGCAACCTTCTCCATGGCATCAAGATATTGCTCTACAAGTTTTAAGACTTTCTCTACCAAAGCTTTTGTTAAATGATGCATGGGATTCTGCATCCGGAGCATCAGGTATGATGGAATTGTAACCAGATCCTGTAAGACAAATTTAGTTAATGATTGCATAAATATTTTTTTTTTTTTTGGGAAAAATTGCATAAATATTTGAAGTAACAGAGAAATACTTCCAGGTAGTTATATTTAATTTTTACTCTTAAAAATGGTTGTTTGTAGGAAATATTTTTGAAGTAAAGCATCTATTAGGCCGTTGTAGTATGCAATTCATTCTGGATTGATATCTCCACTTCAATCTGCCAAGTAGGTCAAATTATTGCATCCGGTCACCGGACGCGGAAAATAAGTTCGGACATCCAATAAAAATTTGCCGCGTCACTTGCGCTTTTGACTGCGCTTTTGACTTGCGCTTTAGTTGTGCTTTATCTGCGCTTTACCTGCGCTTTACTTGTGCTTTACTTGCGCTTTTTGACTTGCGCTTTAGTTGCGCTTTACCTACGCTTTACCTGCGCTTTTACCTGCGCTTTACTTGCGTTTTACTTGCGCTTTAACTGCGTTAATTTAAAATAATATTTTATTAATATCTGGACCTATCTCGGCGTCCGGTGACCAGATGCAATAATTTGCCGCCAAGTAGAGCAGGTATGGCCCACTAAAGGAATGCAGTAATTCTGAAGGAAAAAGAAAGTAAAATATATATAACTTTTTACTTGGTAATATTTGTAACCAGGAGATGGAGAACCTGTATGTATATATTCCAATATTTTTCATCAAGTCCACATCAATCTACACAATTTTGAGTTTTAATCCTTCTTTCAATGTAGTGATTGTGGTCCATAGGATAACATATACAAGCTTTACATTATTTATTTTATATATGTGGTACTGATCAAATGCAATGTTGGTAATATTGAAGTTTAAAATATTTCATATGTGCACATAGATCCTTTTCTATGGAAGTTCTTATAACTAATGACTATTTACATAAGATTTAATTTATATGTTTGTCATCATAACAAAAAGATGGAAGCCTTCTTACTTGTATACTATCTAATCTTACCTAATTTGATTGTGAAGGTATCCCAGATTTTGTCTCTTTTATTCCCCTCATTCAAAGCTCCTTCAAACTAAAGCCAGAGCCCGAGACATATGTTTGTATCGAAAAGAAGTTTTTGAAAAAAAAATAGTTTTCTTTGAAAATTTTGAAATTGACTTTGAATTTTAATTCTAAAATTGAACATCCCATCAGGAAATACATAACACCTCGAGAGGTAGAAATAAGATTTTAAAATGGGGTCCATATTTAGAATTGTGAATTCCACTTTCAATGTCATAGCCAAATTTAAGAAAAACTGCATATGGCCAGATGAATATCTAGCTACAATAATCCAGATGAATTATCGTTAATCTCCTATTTGAAGTTTTATCAACAAATAATAGATCTCTCCAGATGAAGAAAATGTCATTCATTACCAATTATTTGAACATGACGATAACGATTGTCATTAATTTTGATTTTTCCAAAGAAAACTAATTAAATTTTGAAAGCTGATTTTTGAAAAAGTTGATGTGGGTCTTAAATCTCTTATGAGAGCAAGCCCTCGTTGTTAATTACATCATAGGGAGACTAAATTCTGAATGAACACTCTCGATTAAAATAACGATAGAAATTGTATTCAGAGATTTTCTAGGAGTGATATCAAAGGAGGTGAATTTGGAATCTGAACTAGGAATGAACTAGCTCAAGAGATAACAATTCAAAAATATCAATAAAACTTCTAAAGAAGAAATGCTAAAACTCGACGATGAAAGAGGCAAACTCACAACACTTCAATCCCTTGAATTCGCGAACGAAACGACACATTCAATACACTAAGAAGTGATCTCACATCTCCATTAGTTAGACTAATCACATAATCAAAATATGCTTTAGCACTTTACCAAAACCAAAACGAGAATAAAACCACATATGATGTTAACTTTCCAATACAAAAAATTAGACGAGTTATATATAATGCTAAAGTATTCTTCTCTTGTGGTTTCTCAAGAAAGAGAAACTCAAAAAAAATTCCCACAACTTATCATAGATTTCAATTAAAGGAAAAAATAACTCGAACCTGATTCCAAATAAAAGACAACAAACTTTATCTATTTACTATCATGATTCTCGAAACATCACATACATAAGCATAGCATTCATTATTTGTTTCATCGCCAAAGAGAATAAAAAGAAATTTAGGAATTAATAGGAATTGAAATTAATCATTGACAAGGCACAAACGAATCAAAGAAACTTCTCAGATTCATAAATACCAATTAAATCACAAGCCAGACCTTAATCAAACCAAATTTCATTACTTCTTTTGCTGTTAAAATTATTACAAGAATTAAGAAAATAACATGGCCACCAAAGTAGATAAAATAGAACAATGCAACCATCCAACTCATAAACCCAAAATAAATTTATGTTTAAGAACGAAACCATCTGAATCAATAGGGGATGATACATATACTTCCATAAATCCTAACATAAATTTGATCCTTAGAGAGCTCAGTTCAAAGGAAAGAAAATGTAGATCTAGCTTTTGTTTTCAGATTAAAAAGAAAATGAAACCCACCTTCTATGATTTCCCTTAAAGAAAATAATCAAGGCACATCTCTCTTCTCATTCCATCAAGAAACAGTAGGAGAGGATGTGAATGTGATTTAGAAAGGATGAGGAAGGAGAAGATGCAACAAAAAAATATACCTAGATCAAGAGGGCCGGCGACTAGGGCACATCGGCAGCTAGGGAAGACGACGACCATGGTAGGCGACGGACAGTGTAGTGGTGGAGGCGTCAGATCGGATGGGAGAGAGGAAAAGGAGTTTCTTACAAATCAGAGGGAGAAGGAGAGGGGAGATTCACGAACTAGGGTGGTTTCGTGCAAATAAGTGGGAGGAGTCGAGAGCAGTTTGCCAATGGAGCCTAGGGAGGGAGAAATTATTGTGTGCGGAATCCGAATGCATTCGGTTTTCAATCACCGCATGCCACATCACCGGATGCACCCCGGGCCCAGTGCATCCAATGATGTGGCGCATGGTAATTGGAATATGAATGCATTCAGATTCCATACACAATAATTTCTCCTGGGGAGGGGGGAGTTTGTTTCACGAATTAGAGGGAGAGGGGTATCATGGGATGGACTGGCCTTAACTCCTTATTCGGAATTAATGGAAAATCACCCAAACAATCCTAAGACTTCTACTTAGGAAGATTACTATCCTACCCTTATCCATCATTAAAAATCAAAGGTTTGGATTAAGGCTGGATTTAAGAGTGATCTAAGGGATGATTAAAGTCATCTGCATTAAATAGAAATTGAATGAGTCGATTAAACTTGATATTATGTAGATTTATATCGAAGAGCTTTGATTAATGGCAATTTAATCAAATTAGGTTGAATTAGTGAAGAATTTTATGAATTCAATCTTTATTAACTTCAAATGGTTTTGATTTGATTTGGATAGAGTCAATCCTACGTCAGGTAGTATCCACCTAAGGTGATCTTAAGGATGATGTTTACACTAGGCTATGAGGACCTAGTCACTAATAATGAGCTCAGGGAAAATCGATCTCGAATAATGAGGTCAACAAATGGACCTCCAATATGCATGATAAACTTGCCAAAGTTTATCATGCGTATTGGTGTTGAT